TAATAATAATAATAATAATAATAATAATAATAATAATAATAATAATATAGCTTAAGTATTGAGCTCAGAAACCACAGAAATGGTAGGTTAATTCTCTGAGTCCATTTTACATTAAACTTAAGACAGTGAATTACTGAAGGTGGCTTTGACCTCAGTTTAGACTAACCAGTGCTTGAACCTAGAACTTTAAGTCCTGTCTCAGCCTCCTCAGTAGGTGAGATGAGTTTGGCCTCTATCCTCTCTTGTCTGGGAAACCACAAAATCTTCAGCTGAATTTCTGGTGGAGGTGAACAGGATGGTCTCTGAGACTAAAACTCAAACTTTTTATGCACTTTGAAAAAAGAAACAAGCCATCATAGTGTTCACGGTGAGGTGTGTTTCTTTCACATTACAGTTGTCTTAAAAAGAAATGTAAAAGCCACTATTTAACCCAAGTTAGACACTGTGTTCAAAACTTTTGCAGAAAGGTTTTTCAGAGTGAAAACAAAATTTTGCCATTATTAAACCTTTGTTCCTGACTCTCCCTCTAGTCTCTGTTGTATTTTGGTCCTGAGACTGACTGCTTCAGCTACCACACACAGGAGATCGATCATGCAAAGCTTGCCCTTTTTCAGACTACCCTGTTGCTCTTACCCACAGTACCTTCCATGCTCATCAGAATGCTCCTGGGTGTGGCAGAAGTTTTGTTTTCTGGAAGCTGAATGTTTCAAAGGCACATTCATCTATCGATTCCACTTACTTTTGTCACCACAGATAAAAAGGGATATCTGAATGGGCTTGGTCTGTGGCCCACCTGAATTGTACTTTGCTTTTGTGGACAAATAGCTCTTTAACTACAAGTTCTGAGTCTTTTGTGGTATATAACCAAGAAGCTGAATTGCCGGGTATGTTAATTCTGTGTTTACTCCTTTGAACAGTCACTGACTCTGTTTCCTTGTTGGTAAACAAATGCAAAGTGCCATCCCCAGGAGGTGAGGCTAGGACAGAACTCTGGTGCCTATGAACAGTGAATGTGGGACAAATGACAGATACTTTATCAAAAAATAAAATGAAATAAAATAAAATGGAAGCTGAAGAAATGGCTCAAGGAGTAAAAGTGCTTAAAATACAAGCTTTGATATCTGTTCTTGTAACCTGGAAGCAATGACGAACATATAATCCCATCAGTAATACAATATATTATTATATAAAATAAATAATATATACAATATTATATATAATGAATGAAATAATTTTAGAGCAAGGTGACTGTCATTCACATGTGTCTTCCTGTATTTATACCCATATCCAACAAAACATGTATAGCTACAGAAAAAAAATGAACGCAGTATATATGATATACTCAACTATATTATGCAACTACAGTTTCTTACTACATTTTTAATTGCTTTAATTATGTATGTGAGCGTGACAAAACAACTGAACATGTAGAGGTCAGAAGAAAGTTTGGGAGACTCCATTCTGTCTTTCCATCATATGAGGCCCAGGGTTTGAAACAGGTCTTCAGGACTGTCATCTTATCCCTTTATCCCCTGAGCAATCTCACTGGCTACACTAAGAAGTTCTTAGAACAACCTTCAAAGTTTTGACAAGATGAAGTCACTTTTTTTTTCTAGACTGGGTTTCTCTGTGTAGCCTTGGCTGTCCTGGACTCACTTTGTAGACCAGGCTGGCCTCAAATTCACAGAGATTCTCCTGCCACTGCCTCCTCAAGTGCTGGATTACAGCCATGCACAACTGTGCCTGGCTGATGAAGTCACTTCTAAAGAGTCCTGCCTGTGAAAAAAATGATGAGTATTTGCTGAGTTGGGGGCAGGGCTAGCAAAATAAGGATGTAGAAAAATTATACGTATACACTCCTTACCCTAGTGGCAATGGCTAAACTGCCTCCCTTTTTCTCCACAGAAAAGCACTTGCAGAACTCATTCATGTGGATGAAAGCAAGGTGAAGGTCAGTAGACTTTCATCAGGGTATTCTATATCATATCTGCTTCAGGACAGGCATGGCCTTGTCTTACACACTTGGAGTTCCTGTGACTACCAAGAGTTAGACTAATTTGTTCTTGGAAGTAGAAGACGTTTAAAAAGTGAACTCAAGCTAGTGTTTCTTCCCTATTTTGGGAAGTAAAGGACCATGTTTTCCTAAAGGAAAGCAAAGTGAAGAAACTGGGTCTTCCATACTCTGTGGGAAAGGATCTGTGTTTGTGTATGTCTAGATATAGCATATGTAGGTATAATTGTGTTTGTATGCATGTCATAGACACCTGCATGTCCCCCAATGAATACTGAAGTTTGTATGACAAAAGGATCCTCTGCAAAGTATTTTTGTCAGGAGTCATGTCAGGGTCTCCATGAAAGTATTTATGAGATGGCAGGAAGAAGCATTAGCAGACGTTTCTGTTGTATCAAATTACAGAATACTAAATTCATGAACATAGCTATCAGAATGAATGAATGAATATGAAGCAGGGGATGACTTGCCTTTATACACAGCAAGGAAATTTGGTGAATTAAGGTGAAAAGGATGTAGGATTAGAGCCAAAAAACCCTTTGTGCCTGGCCCTTCTGCTTTTCTTTTGTAAGGTTTTAGTAAGATGACATGGACAAAAGCAGCTCTGAATTTAAATTTTCCAGCTCGCTATTATGTGCCAACTGATATATTGCCCCAAATCTGCTTTAGTTATGAAAAAAGCAAGGTTTGACAGCTCTGAAAGTCTGTCTAAAGAAAATGACCCTGATAGTTCAGAGTTTGGCATACAACTTATTTTTTTTAAAGGCTTCTGCAGAAGAGAAAGTCTTGTGCTGTGTGTACTAAGTAAATTTGTCTGATGGTTTTTAGTGATGGTGGATCAGAAACCTGGATCTCCCATGCTGAGAGCACAGCCTCCACACTGGGTAATATTTACAGCCCTGAAAAGTTTGTGAGCAATTGTGAACTCTTTTCTGCTGTGAAAGGGGCAATATGCCATATGAAGTTATATGATGTGTCTTTCCATTATAATATTAACTGTTCAGTGTGATAAAGCAGCCTCTATCTTGGTCTGATTTCAGGATTGGTTTAAAAATAACAGAGTTAAATACAGGAAAAAACAGATGGAGTTACTACACAGCAATAGCACATCTGGTATTCTGAACAACTTTTCCCCTGAGATGAATGAAGATCAGAAGAGTGCTTGTGTTCCTGAGGAGCCAGTAGGGTTCATCTTGTGCCAGCAACATCTTGGCCAATCCTGCTGGTCATGAAAGCATTGTCTTGTCACATACAATAGCAATAAAGGAGAGATTTCTTGAAATACTATTTACATTTGTCATCTCTTTTCCACAGACTGGGAAAGACACTTTTTTTTTTTCTGTTCAGCTTTGTACTAAATGGAGGCCAGAAGAGAAGCCCAAAACTTGAATCAAAAAAATGGCACTCTTGTCCATCAGAATAAGAGAGTATGGTGGCCATATACCTTTTATATTCAGAATGGGCCTCCAACTCTACATTCTTCTGCAGCCTCCTAGGTAAATGTCAGCATCCTGCATTTTACTTCAGGGATCAGTGATGTTGCTGACTTGGACATAGCATCCCTTCCTCATGAAGAACTCCTTGGAGAATAGGAATATACATAGAATTGGGAAGCCACGAGGGTGAACTTGGCACTGGTAGGAGTGATGACTTGTCTTTTATTGATGAAACTTTGAACAAGAACTATACAACTGTCCAGAGTCAGCTAGTGAAGATGTGAAAGGGTATACTTAGAACCTGGAAAGAAATGGGAGAAGCAAGAGGAGTATAGGCAAACCTCCTAGTTACTAATTCCCAGGGAAGAAAAGGATCCCAGAGTTGATCTGGGAAGGAAGCCACCTGCTTTATTCCTGTAGCCTGTCAATAACTACATGTTCTATAATTTAAAGCAGATTTATTTTTATAATATTTAAAGATGAAAAACAATTTATGATAAAATGCATTCAAAACATAAATAAAATATGCAGGTAAGGTTACAGAGTTCAAGTATACCAAGGAAAGACCACCAGACAAAAGTTCTTTCAATTTAAAAGTTTTTTTAAAGCGAGATTATTTACAGTAATGTTGTGACAACAATTTACATTGCCAGTCTGAGAGCTGCTGCAAAAGGGGACAACAGGGGCTCTTGAGTTTTTAAAAGATTTTCTTGTATGTAGAGCATGATCATGGATTTTTGTTGTTGTTGTTGTTCTTGTTTGCTTGTTTTTTTTTTTCTTTTTCCTGAGCATGCAGCAGTTAAGGGAGATGATAGAAACAGAATGAATGCCTAGTTAATATTTTAAGGTAACAATTATACTTATTATTTTGTTATATAAAGGGGAATTTTGGGGGAAATGGACCAGGTAGGTCATGGTCCAAATATCCTGTAGTCAACAGCCTTTAGGAGAGCTGTGTAGTAGTATACACCTGTAATCCCAGCACTCAGGGAGCAGAGGCAGGCAGATCTCTGTGATTTTGAGGCCAGCCTGGTCTACAGAGTGAGTTCTACGACAGCCAAGGCTACACAGAGAAACCTGTTTCTAAAAACAAAAATAAATAGAGAGAGAGAGAAAGAAAGGAAAAGAAAGAAAGATTTTTAGTTTAAGAATAAGGTCTTGTTGACTCCTAAGTTTCTTTTCTTTTTTTCTTTTTTTTAACAGTAACTTAGTTTGAAACTCAGTTTTAAGAAAGCTAGTTTTTAATTATTACAGTGGTGAGTAGTGTACAAACTTCTAAAAGTTGCTCTGTATTACTTTAGAGAATTCGGTACTTACGGTATCTCCAGGGTTGTTTTGAACAAATGGATGACTGTGTAGACACTGTTGAGAGTTTAGGATGGATGATACCCTAAATAGCTCAGCAAATAACTTCCTCAATGCCCTAGAAGTCTGCAGGTATCCCCTTTTCCCTACCTACACAGACACTGCTTTGGACATCATTCCCGAATGGACATGGGGCCTGTGAAGCTCTTGCTGTCTTCAGTTCTGGGAACTTCAAGGAGGTTTGTAGGGTTTGCTGGCTGATCAGGTCAAGAAGGACTTATGCCTCCCTCTGAGAGGATATGGGCAGTGCTGAGCCTTGTGAAAGACTGCTAAGAATCATTCCACGCTATTTGAAATGTCAGCTGTACCCAGAACTGTCTTTCCATCCATCCATCCATCCATCCATCCATCCATCCATCGTTTTTTGAAGACAAGGATTTCTCTGTGTAGCCCTCGTTGTCCTGGAATCACTTTGTAGACCAGGCTGGCCTAACTGACAGAGATCCGCCTGCCTCTGCCTCCCTAAGTGCTGGGATTATAGGCATGAACCACCGTGGCTGGCTGTCTTTCAGTTTTTATCTTTGCAGAGCCCTGTGATGATTTGTGAAAATGATCCAAAGTGTCTGCATCTGCTTTCATCAAGGAGCTCAAGGCCAGGAATAGGTGATGCCAGGAAAAAAAAACAAAACAAAACAAAAAACAAAACAACCAACCAACCAAGACAAAACCAGAAACACACTTTGATAGGCTGTGAAATTGTTATCAAAGCTGTGAGATTTTCTTCTCTGACACCACGACTCCAGTTGTGCATGGCATAGGTTGGAGGAACTCTAGTCTATTAGGGCTCCTACTACCCTCAGATCCAGAGGTGGGCATCTGAAATCCCAGCATATGTACGGGGAGATAACTCACAGAGACAGGAAAATTGACTGTAAGTTGTTGGGCCTCGTCCCACAAAGAAGAAAACACAGTTCAGAAACACGAGAGACACTGCCTTGAATATCACAGAGGCCAAAAGGAGACTCTTAAAACTTGTTGCCTAACATCTACCATTTACACATGTGCCTGCCCTCCTACCCTCCCTTTCTCTTTATACCCCTCCTTTTCCCTGGTCCCATTCTCTGTCACATGCCCAACACACACACTCACATACACTCACAGTCACACACACTAATAAATGAAATAAACTATGAAAAACAAGGTGAGGGGGTCTCCTGAGGAATGACAGCCAAGTGAATCTTCCTGCATTCTTTCTCCCACAACCACGAACATGCACACACCAC